GGGAACGGCCTAAGACTATGTGGCCCAAGGCTGCTGAGTTTGATCTGCTCGGCCGGGAAGAGGCTCTATGGCATCTCATTCCAGCCCCAGCAGGGGCCCCTAGAGGCTTGCAATAGTGACAGCTGGATTCAGACTCCAAGGCTACAGGAAAGGGCAGAGATTCAGTGGCCAAGTGCTTGCGGGACAGGTGGTGAGAAGTCCTGGTTTGGGCTTCTCAAGGGGATGGGTCTGGCATGGACGCTGCATAGGGTGGAGGCAAGGGAGGTTGGGGTGAAGGGACATCCAACATTGTTGGCCAGCAGCAGCAGTGGTGTGTGGCTGGGCCAGGCAGGGCAAATGAGAGTGTGGGGGGACCCATGTGGAGCCAGAGGGAGGCTCCCTGGGGCAGAGGCCACTGAAGGATGGTCGGCCTGATCCTCTGCTCCAGGGCAGGGGTTGGCAGCAGGAAGGCTGACCAGGACTCCTCCTTTGTTGGCTCTCAGGCTGCATGAGGAGTCCTGCCCAACCTGAGGGCATCCAGCAGCCTAGGGTCAGTGCAGTCTTTCTGCCATTCTCACCATGAACCTGGAGGTGCCCAAGGCTGAGATCCGGTCAGCCACCAGGGTGATAGGAGGACCTGTCACCCCCAGGAAGGGGCCACCCAAGTTTAAGCAGCGGCAAACCAGACAATTCAAGAGCAAGCCCCCCAAGAAAGGCGTCCAGGGGTAAGTAAGACCTGGGGATGGGAGCCTCTCAAAGGGTGGAGTGGCAGTCCCCCAAGCTGCATAGGAAGATGAGGTAGAGGCCACTGTCTAGGCCAGGGCCAGGCAGTTCCTGAGGCCTGAGGCAGGGAGGGCTGTCACTCACTCCACGTGCCCGCTGTTAAGTCTGGAAAGCAACCCACTGCCACCCACAGATTTAGCCACTGCCTCACATCAGCAATGTGTATGTACCCCTCCACAGTCATCTGTGCACATACAAGCCTGTCACAGCATGTACACATCCAAGGGACCCTGCTTGTCCTTTTCTGTTGCTATAACAAAATACCAGAGGCTGGATACTTTATGCAGAAAACAAGCTTATTTAGCTTACAGTTTGCAAGCCTGCAAGTCCCAGATGGGGCAAAACCCATGGTTTCACCTTGGCTGAGGGCCCTGTGGCTCCTTCTAAACATGGCAGAGGGCATCATGGCAGGAGCACCAGCAAAAGGGACTGACAGATCACATAGCAAGATAAGAAGTGGAAGGGTCGGCCAGATAGCTCAGTAGATTAAAGCGCCTGCTTAGGCAGACGCAGGGGTGGTGGGGTGGTGGTTCCAATCCCTGGCCTGCTGTGCCAGCCCTGTCCCCAGAGCACTCTGAGATGGCCTTGGAGAACTGGGAGTGGTGGCACATGCCTGTACCCCCAGCGCTTGGGAGACTGAAAGACAGAAAGGATCACTACAAGTCTGATCTATGTATTGAGACTCTGTAGACTTTGTACTAAACACATTAAAAAGAAAAACAAAAGATGAGAAGCTGGGCTAGTGAGATGGCTCAGTGGTCTAAAGCACCTACTTAGAACAAGCTAAGCTAAGCGAAGCACAGGGACGGCGGTTCAATCCCCAGCACCACATGCCAGCCAGCCCCGCCCCCTGGTGGGCTGAGCTGGCCACACACACAATAAATTAATTAATTAATTAAAAAAAAAAGATGAGAAGCTGAGAGTGGGGAGTCCTCGGGATCATGCTCATTCTATGGAGTTATAACTGGGTCCTGAGAGAACCCCATTAATCCAACTGGCCTTCTGACCTAATTGTCCTTCACCAGACACCACCCGCCCCCTTAAGGCTCCACCACTTCTCAGTACTACTGCATAGGGACTGGGACTCCAACTCACAAGCCTCTGAGGAACACAGCACACCACACCTACACAGAGCAGGCCCACTCATACCGTCCCACACCCACCACAGTCACCATGCTGCTGTCTCCCACATGCCTGGCTGCTAACCCTGGGCCCCAGTGGAATTCTTCTGGCAGCCACCTCAACCTGTGTTCATAGAGGAATCCCTTTAGCCAGCTTAGCAGCTGGAAGACTAGGTCCTGACCTCAGGCCACCATCCACCTTTTTTTTTTTTTTTTCTTTTTTGAGACAGAGTTTTACTATACAGCTCAGGCTAGCTTTGAGCTCACTTTGTAGCCTAGGCTTGTCTCAGACTCACAATAATCCTCCTGCCTCAGCCTCCCAAATTCTGAGATGACAGGTGTGTGCCACCATGCCCAGCTGGGCCACCATCTTGACCATCTTGACCACTCTGTCTTTGCAGGTTTGGGGATGACATCCCTGGAATGGAAGGTCTAGGAACAGGTAAGAATCCTGAAAAGTCGTCCATGGCCTCCCTCACTTATTGCTCAGGGCACTGTCCATTTCTCCTGTAACACCCCATCTTCATTCCCCTCCAAATGAGAGGCCCAGGAAGTAGGTTCACCAGCTTGAGGACCAGGTGGAAGTCTTACTGTCCTGTTTTCAGGGGACTCCTTCCTCAGCTTTTCTCTCAGGCCTGGCACACCCCTTCTGCTGGATGTGGCTCAGTTTGATATGCCCCCCCCCAACTAGTATATCCTGGGAAAGGCCTGCACCCAGTGCATGTGCTCTTATTGGGCCAATCATGGTCTCCTTCTGGGATGTGGAAAACAGCCAGAGGATGGGGTGGCCCTGGAACCATGGCTCCTCCCTGACTGTGTCTCTCCTGTAGACATCACAGTCATCTGCCCTTGGGAGGCCTTCAACCACCTGGAGCTGCATGAGCTGGCACAGTATGGCATCATCTAGTCCAACAGCTGCTTGGAGCCCTGCACCCTCCAGGTGCCCACAGTGAGGCCCATTAAGAGCCTCTGGCCTTACTGACATCTGACTTCCAAGATGGGATGACCTCAGGCTTTGGATGCCAGTTGCCAGGAGGCCCCCATCCCCAACTCCTCCAGGCTACCTTGTTCACCTTCCAAAGACCCTGGCCCACACCTATAGGTCTGCAGGTGGCCAGTCCCAGAATCTCCCCTCTTTGTGGCTGGAATGCACACAGGAGTATACCCCACAACCCAGAGCTCTGCACTTCCCTCACAGCTGGGTGGTCTGAGTGGCACGTGGTCAGTCAGCAGTCCTCAGCACATGTGTTGAGACAAAGTTCCTCTACTCATTGCGTCAACCTTTCTAGCATGGCCCACCCTTGCTGTCCCTGTTTCAAAATAAATTAGTGTGTCCTTGCTTGTCTGAGGCATGTCTCGGGGGGAACTGGACCAGAAAGTGAGGATCACTTTGGCCCAAACATATGGAGGAAAGTGGATAGATGGTGGGGGGCAGTGGAGGCAGGATGGGCAGGCCAGGTAGAAAAGTCACAAACTCATCAATTACATGCCCAGGTTACAGAGCCTTGGCAACATGGCACATGAATTAGGCCACATCCCTATCTTCTCCCTGTGGCCACAGTCCAATGTGTGTGGGTGGCCAGGACCATCTTCACTGGGAAGGTGGGAATTGGCAAGGTCCATATACCATGGGGGAGGGGCTCATCTCTCTACCTCTCAGGCAAGGAAACTGAGGCACAGAGGTCCAGTCAGGAGCCTACACCCCAGCCAAACATGTGCCCACTCTGACCAGGGGATCCCATTTCTGACACCACACAGAAGCAAATCACCCTCACACATCTGTGCAAGCTCTCCAGGTGGTGCACACAGGGTCTCAAGTGCTCCTGACTGGGGTGACCATGTCTTACCACAGGAATGATCAGACAGTGAATCTTGGAAGGCCCTCTGTGATTTGGCTTACAGTTCAATCACAAATGGGCTGGCCAAGTGTGGTGATGCACACCTGTAATTCCAGCACTTGGGAGGCTGAGGCAGGAGGATTGTTGCAAGTTCAAGACCAGCCTGGGTACAAAGTGAGCTCAAGGCCAGCCTGAACTGCATAGTGAGACCCCTGTCTCCAAAAAGGCAAAAGCAAAACCAAATGGGCCACACTGGCCCTGAAGATAAAGTCAAAGCTGAGCTGACCTCTGAGGCAGAGATCCTGGGTGGCTGGGAACTTCTCCATCTTAAACTGGTGGGAGTTCCAGGGATAAAAATTTCTCAGTTGGCCCCTTGAGATTGGTAGTTTACCACAGGAATGTACTCTTCAGTGACCAGTGTGCCTACAACCCCAAAATCCCTTCTGGCCCAAGAGCCCTTAGCCTTACCCTCAACCCCACCACAGACATGAAAGGGGAAGGTGGCCTCCCAGAAGGAAGGGGCCCCTACAAGTGAGGAAGTGAGGGGCTAGGAGCTGGCCAGAGGCAGGTCAGATTCAGGGTAAAAGGTGGGTAATCCCCAATTTGTGCTCTTCACACCAGTGAGATGGGAGCCTTCCTAAGGAGCAGGGGATGGGGGCACTGTGTGGGTCCTCAAGAAAGCCAGAAAGACATCAGGGGGTCAGGGAGATGGCTCAGTAGAACAAGCGCAGGGCCTGAGTTCAATCCCTGGTTCCGCAAACAAAACAAAACAAAACAAAACAAAACAAAACAAAACAAAACAAAACAAAACAAAACAAAAGAACCCCAACCAAACAAGCAAACAAAAAACCAGAAAGACATCAGGTAGTGATACAAGTTGATTTTAGGGTTTGGGAACAATGGGAAGGAAGAGGGTACAGGATGGAGAGGGAGGGTGAATTACTTGGACTAACCCCCACAGACACATGTCAGGCCAGCCAGGGGAAGCCTAGAGCCATGCCTGTACCTTGGCCTCTCCCCACCTTGGCCCTGCCCAGTGGGGAAGGTAGTCTAGGTAGCTCCATGCTCAGGGAGGGCCAGGCCCTGGGTCACCCACTACCTTTGGGGCAGCTAGGGCCCGCAGTAGCAGAGTGGCTAGCAGGAGCTCAGCCCCCTGTACCAGCACAATGACGATGACACAGCCACCTATGGCCTGGATGTTCCCGAGAAGCCACTGTTGCAGCCGAGGGCTACAGCCCTCCAGGTATACAATTTGCTCAGCCGAGGCCTGGTCTAGACGTAGTACTCTAAAGCCGCATTGGGTGTTCACTGAAGCTCCATCTTCCTGAGGGTTGATACAGCAAGAGGCAGGAAGGCTGCAGGCCTGGACCCCTGGAGAGCTGCAGTTGAAGTACCTGCATAGCACATGAGGATCAGCCCCAGGGGGAGCCCACTGTCTTAACCCCCTGTACATTCTCATGGCTACTCATGCATGGACCTACATACACTCATGCACACACATACCTTCATGCACTTTGCACAGGAACATAGATATACACACATGCAAGAACATAAGCACACACGGACATACATGAGCTTCCCACATCCCTGCACACAGCAGCCTTCTGCCATTGCGGACAGATACAGTGGGAAGTATGTAGCTTGAGATGGCTGAAGGGGAGACAAGCACTTAATGAAGGTCAGTAAGAAGATCTCCCCTGCTTCCAGAAAAAAAAAGAAGAGGAGGG